CTGTGAGCCTAAAGCCACCGGGCAGCTCTTTCTCATCTGCTCTATTCAGCATCTCTGGATTTGGATTAATAATTCCAAAACAAGCCTGACAGGTTGCAGTGGATACAGAATCAATTTTATGCGGATCTCCCTGTCACATCACTGGAGCTAAATAAGGATGGGGCCAGTTGATGAGCTATTCATCTAATGCAGGGAAGTAATGTCCCTCGACTCCTGGACCCCCACAGAGTTCCACAGATTTTACCAAAATATTTTGTAGATTTTTATTTTTTAAGTTTTAAAAAAATGGAGGACCTGAATGATATAGATAGTTCTCCTTCAAGAGTCAAAAAAAAAAAAAAGAAATTTCAATTTCATTTCTCAGCATGTAATATTTCTTTCCCTGTGTTTCAAATTACGTTGTGAAAGTAGATGTCCATGTCTTTTTAATGCAGAAATTTAGTATTATAGATTGGAAAAAAATCATACAATAGAAGAGTGCAGCCTTTGGTGATTATGTTTTAATATTTTTAAAAAACCCTTTTCCTGGTGTTGTTAGTTACACATTTTTTTCCATTTATTTCATAAGGAAAGTAGCATTTCAGATATTTTCTCACTGACTATGAGAAATAAGGAATACATGCAAATATAGAGAAATTATATATCAGCATTTTTGGTCTCATAAACCCTTTTGCCAAGTGTGCTTTTGGGATAAATCTAAAGGCTAAGTGTGTCTTGTTGAAATATTTGTGTGAGGCCTAAAAGAACCCTACTGGAAAATAACAGCATGCAAGAAAGGATGCCCATATGAACACCAATTTTCTTTAAGAAAGATCTCCAGTAATACACCAGTCACTGTATGGTGTATGTGAAGCAAATGAAGAGTTATTTTGGACTTGATGATGTACATCTGATAAATAGGTCTAAGTCAATTTGTGTGTGCTAGAACACGTAATCAACTTTATGTTCATATCTAAAATGTGCCTTTGAGTCTACATTACCATAGAGAGAAAGGTTGTTAGACAAATACAATTTCTGTACTTATAGTTTTTAAAATGAAAGTGAGGTCAGGCTTGGTAATCCCAGTGACTCAGGAGGCTGAGGCTGGAGGATTGCAAGTTTGGGGATAGCCTTGACAAATTAGGGAGACTCTGTCTCAAAAGTAAAAAATTAAAGTTGCTTTTCATTTTTTGAACCTTGCAAGGTTGTTTGAGTTGCCGTTTCACGGGAAGGGTTATTTCGTTGGTTTTTTTTTAGTTGTTGGCCTTACCGGTTGGGTTCCTTGATCTTGGGTTTTTTGTTGGTTCTTGCCTTGTTTTTTTTTTTTTTTTTTTTTCCCTTTTTGTTTTGTTTATTGAATTTTTGTTTTGTTCTTGGTTCAATTCTTCGGTTTTTTTTTTTTCTGCACTAGTATTTCACATGTAATCTATTAATTCTAGCAAGGACTTTGAGGGATATTCAGCTTTAGGAGGCATACCTCTTTCTTTTACAGATGGGGCAATAGGCAAAATAGCACTTCAGAACGTACAGTGTAGCAAATGCTGGGGTTGCCTACCTGGTATTTATTTCTGTTATCCAATCCCCTAATGCATATGTGCCTAACTGCTAACCAAAGATCATTATTGGTCTAAACCAAGGGTCTGAAAATATTTTCTATAAAGGACAAGATAGCCAATATCTGAGGTTTTGTGGGCCAGCTGATTTATTTTGCAATTACTCAACTCTGCTGATACAGCATGAAAACACCCCCACATTTAGGATAAGACTCGGTGTGGTTGTGTTTGAACAAAACTTTATTTATAAAAACTGCAGGCAGCATGTGGCCCATGGGAAGTGACTTGCTGGATCCTCATCTAATCTTCTCAAAGTCATCCTGTTTCTTGCCTTTTCACCCTCTGAGATATGATATTCCAATACCACTCAGATGAATGAACCCAAGTAGATATCTGTTGGAAAGGTTTGGGGACATGTAATGACACTGTTCTTTCCTCTCTCCTTCTTGTTCTGCTTTAATGCTTTGCTGGCACAAAAACTGTCATTTTGTGGCCATGAGGTAATAAAGCAGTGTGGTGAGAAATGACAATCCAAAGGCCAGGATGCTCAACTTACCCCTGCCAAGATTATATCCTTGAACATAGCCTGACACTGCATGTTTCTGGCCTTTTAAAAGGAAAATAAACTCTTATTTGTCTAAAATGCTTTGTTTTTGTTAATTTCAGAAGAAGGAAATTCTAACCAGTACATTTCTCTAGAAATTTAAATGCAAAGATATAATCTTAGGGGACTAAATTATTTCCTGTAAATTTTAAAGATGAAATGGCATTATTATATTTAAAAATAGTCAGAGCACATTTGAACCTCCAATCTTGAGTTTTAGAGATCATTACTTTATTCTTTACTATGAATTGCTGTTTGATAGACCTCAACACTTCCTGGGAAGTCATTAGGTCTTTTTTCCCATCCTTTGTCTCCTGGTGGTTCTCATAATTCAGGGAATGAATGAAATAGTGAGTTATTGTTAAACACAGAGACCCGAGTCCTAATGCAAGATTCTGATATAGCAGAGTTGTACGTGTTAAATCTACATTTTTAAATAATTGCTCGTGAGTATGAAACAGGTGGCCTTGACAAATACTGCTTTAGAGTCTAGACTAATTCAACTGGGTAACCAAGAGCCAGGAGTGTTTTAATTTTTCTGAATACATGTGTTGCCTGGAATCATTTCTATGAAACCACTCTCTGATTTCCAACAAACAATGAGTCATCTGTAGTACAATAATAGCTTTTAAATGGAATTTCTGTTTTGTTGACTGGCAGTTTGATTCAGTTGAATGCTTTCTCCTCCTCCTCCTCCTCCTCCTCCTCCTCCTCCTCTAAACAGCATTGAGCAGTATCCAGTTTATTTAGCTATGGGACGGTCATGGATGATTACCTTTTACACATTTGCATTAACTGTCTGGACACTTGTGTTAGTAAGTTTCTTGTTGCCCTGGCAAATACCTGAGAATGATTATTTGGAGGGGGAAAGATTTATTTTGGCTTACGGTTTCAGAGGTTTCAGTCCATAGTTGTCTGGCTTCAAGGTGGAAACATCATGGAGGAAGGGTGTGGTGGAGGAAAGCAGCTCAGCTCATGACAACTGGGAAAGAGAAAAGTTGGAGAGAGAGAGAGAGAGAGAGAGAGAGAGAAAGATGCTGAGTACAAGAAATACCCTTCCAGTGCACATCCCTAGTTGTCTATTTCCTAGGTCCCACAGCCCAAAATTTCTACCATCTCCCATAATGTCACCAAATTATTAGTCTATCATTGGATTAGCGCACTGGTGAGGTCAGAACCTTCCTCATTGGATCACATCCCAAGAGTCCCACCTCCAAATATTGCTGCATTGGAATACAACCCCCCCACACTGGAGACTTCGGGAACATTCTAGATTCCAATTATAACACCACTGAAGACGAAAATTGAAAATCTTCACTTACAAATTTCTGTTGTACTTTAATTAATTTTGAAAATATGATGGAAAAGTTGTTTGACCTTTGTGCAAAAAGGACTCCACGAGAATCATGAATGAGCCATGATGCCCAGGATTCAGAGTGTAAGTAAGTGATGAATGGATTAGCTGTCTCACCTAAATGTAAGTAGAGCCAGCATAGAGTCACAAAGGTAGTTCTGGTCCCACTTTGGGAGTTGCATGGATTTCCAGGGTAACTCTTCACCTTCTCTCCCTGGTACATAGCCATTGGTTCAGCCAAACCATGTATCTCGCTTCTTCTGAAATGACATCTCTCTTTGAGAACATTCTTTATGCAGTGATTTGTGCTCTCTTCCCCAAGTACTTATTCAGAAGAACTTTCCTTTCCCTTCTGGACTCTGCATCCTGGACCTGCAGATTGCAAATGCATGTTATTGTCTCCTATTATGAAACCGAATAGCAGAGAGAAAGGAACATAGGTTTCCCAGACAGACAGAACAAAGATAATTCTCATGTGTGTTTATTGGATGTCCCATGAGATTTGGTATCTTCATCTGTAATGGAGAGAACACTATCCATTTTTTTTTTTTGAGCTGTAAGAAGCTTTGGAGAAAATCTGTGGTCCTAGACGGAAGCTCTTTTCCCTAGTGACCCTGGTTTTCTGCTGCCTCTCAGTCATAACTTAGGTTGATCAAGGCATTCAAAGGTGTACCTCAGCCATTGTGTTCATAAATGAGGCCGAGGAGCCTCTAACTCTGACTTAACCCAGTGCTTGCTTTAGTCTTCTACCACAGTGTTAATTTGAGGTAGGAGAATAAGAGTCTATATGAGAATCTGTAGTTCTTAGACAAGGTAATTCAGATAGCTGGGTCAAACATAAGCCTTAACTGTGGCTTCAGATTAATTCCTCAGCATTTTTCTTCCAACCAGATGTTCTGGCAGAGAAGAGAGTGTAGCTTGAACTGCAAATGGCTTTTACAGCCTTCCTGTTTCCATGCTTCTTATTATGCATTGGATAATCCCTCAATTACCTTATCAGAGAGGAATGGAGGCAATTCCTGCAATAAAGGCTGGTTGCTGAGAGTTGAGCCTCTATGTTTCAGCTCACCTCACTGGACAGTGCTGTGATTCACATCCAGTCTTAGCCTTATGAATATGTCATAAAGAATGGTGATTGGCACATGATTGGTGGGCAGTACTTATTGCCATCTATTCTGTTATCCTTATCTCCTACAAGGAATTATCATTGTTCCCGTGTCGTATATTATGCCTTGAGTATCAATTAACTAAATATAAATCTCGTAAGGCCATGAGAATAAAAGAAGAGACCAGGCATGTGGAGGGAATAGGAAAGAACTGGAGAGAAGAAAGGATCAGAAAGTTTAAGAGGTGGATGAAAGGTAAATTTGATTGGTTTACAATTCTATTGCAGAATGTACCTTGACCCTATTATGCAAATAGGGACCCAAACAGGCTGAAAACAAAGTTATTTCATATGTTGTCACAGTTGGACTATGGTTGCTAGTGTCACCATGAGTGTCACCCTTTTTTTCAGTCCATTTGATCATCTGATGAGAATTATTTATTGAATACCTGTCCCAGGCGCTGCATGTACAACAGAAGTAAAATCCAGATGAGATTATTACCTTCATGGAGCTGACAGTCTCCTGGGAGAGGTGAATATTAACTAAATATTCATATGAATAAATTTTTAAAAATACTCTATCTAGAGGGAATTATGTATTTTTTTGTAAGAGTGAAAAATATAGAGATCTTACATTAAGTGGAACCAAGAATGGATCCCTGTGGAAATGATACTGGGAATGAGGCAGGAAGAATGGACAGATATTGGATGGATTAGAGTAGAAAAGAAGATTTTCAGCTAGAGAAACATTGCCAAGGGCAGTTGAGTGATCATGTTACACTGAAACGTGAAAAACACTGAATGTGGCTGGACAACCAAGAGGAACTGAGAGATGATTCTGGAAGTGATGAATCCCTGGGTTCTTGCAGATTTGGACTTTATTCAAAGATTAGTGTGAAACCTTTAAGGTATTTTAAGCCTGTGTTGACATCATAAAGTTTTCATTAAAAAGTTACTTTAGCTGCAACAGAGAACAGATTAGAGGGGTCAAGAACAGATGTGCTAGATCAGTTACTTGTGGTCTTGGGGAGAGAAGGAAGCTTCATGAAGGGAGGAGTTTATGATGGATAGAGAGCAGTCTATGATGGATAGAGCAGGGGTTGGGGAGAGGGAAGTGCATTGGTGTTTAGCGGAACCAGATGGTGATTGTGCCATACACCAAGGAAGGAAACCCTGGATGAGAAGCAAGTTTGGAAAAGGTCAAGATCGAATCTGGGAGGCAGCTGATTATGCTGGAAAAACATATTGAATTGACTTTCCAAATACTTTCTTACCATACATGGATTTTTTTTTTTTTTGGATGAGAAATCTTAACACCATTTCTTTCCAGTTGCAGGATCTTTAGCAAAAGCTTAACTCATTGAACCTAAGTCCTACATCTGGAAACTGGTGAAGGGGAGAAGTCAAGGATGTAATATTTTGTATAAAATACATAATGTCTGACATATGGTGGGTGCTTAATAAATCCTTTCCCTTTCTCTTTCTAGTTTGCCTTTTTCACATAGCATTATACTGAAAATATTCAAAAGTGATGTAGTATTTATAATTAAGTTTTCATGTGCTTAAAATATTTAAATGAGTTTGTGTTCATTATCTTCTTATGGTTGGATACATTTTTTTGGTCACTTAGAGATAATATTCTATCACCCCTGTTATTTTGAACCATTTCTTAAGATCAAATAAATGTTCAGTGTTGTGGTCACACGAAATCAAAATTATGGTTAAAAAATTTTTTTGGACATTAGGTGCTTGCATTGCTCTATAGAGTTACCATCATGTGAATGTGCCATATTAATCAAAAGTTGGCACTAATAAAATGTACTTTGTGCGGTTGAATGTTGGGAACATTAAGAACATAGTAATGAAAGTAGTTCTGGGTTGGTCTGAAGGGGTGGAAAATCTGAATTCCTCCATTTATGTGTTACTTCAGATAATTACCTAACCTTTATGAAGTTCCATTTACTTATCTACAAAAACAGGGACAATAACAGTATCTTCCTTTATGGTTTCTCTGATAAGTAAAGCTCAATGAATCCAAAGTTTACGGTAAAGTAAACTTTGTAAATGTTTAAATATCAACTTTAAATTGCCACTCATTGCAATAGTTAGTATGTAGGTGAAGCTGCTGTAACAAATAAACTGACAACATCACAAGAACCTGTTTCACTTTCTTGTAACAGTCTAGAGGTCCAAAGGTGTCTGGAACAGGGTGGTGGCTTTGCTTTCTGTAATTATCCAGGAGCCTGTGCTCCTTTTGTATTACCAATCTGCCATTCCCTGGGTCTTTCCCTCATCAGCATGGTCTGAGCTGGTCAGTGCAATGCTCTAGGACCGTGAAAGAGTATACAAGAGTCACATGAAGGTGAAGTAATATAAGCCTCCTTTCAAGGATGGGGCTCACAAGGTGGAAACAATACTTGTGTTTACATCCCAGAATTTACCTTATTAACATGAATATGTCACCATTTGTAAGACAGAGTCTTATTTTATGTTTAAGACAATTCAATTATGATTCAATGATTTCTTATCCTGTCTGTTTTTATATTATACTCGTGTAAAGAAATCTTTTAGATCAATTTGGGTATAATTTTTACTAAATACCATCATTTCTGTTCATTCATAAAGAGAAATATAAAAGAACAATAAATTGAAGGGATTCCTAAAACTTCTTAACACCTGAACATAGACTACTGAATCGCTTCTTGGTTCACAGTGGTTGATGTCCATGTTAATTAGCACAGTGTTTTTTTTTTTTAAATGCCTTTACTTATTTCTTTATTTTTATGTAGTGCTGAGGATCGAACCCAGAGCCTCGCACGTGCTAGGTGAGCGCTCTACCACTGAGCTACAACCCCAACCCCAGCACAGTATTGTTTTTGCACCACCAAAATCATTTGTAATATGGCCTCTCTTGAAAAGCTGCCCTACATCCATCTCCAGGGTTTTACTTGAAGCCACTGACACCCATTCTCCATGGTCAACACTTTCTTACTTTGTGAAACTCATAAATTTGTCTTCTCTTAATTGAGTTATATGTCATCAGATGTTAAGCAGCTTCTGTTCAAAGTCAGCAGAAAGCTAGTACAAATAGATGATCAATGTCTCAATGATAATTCTGGGCAATGCAGGAATCATTCATTGCCGCAGTCCGGCTGCAGCAAAATAACCCGGGGGTGACGAGCATCTTGTGTACATTGATACAGCAGGAGTGGGAGCTGTTTATTGTAGGACAGGAGGGGTATACATACATTCCACACAGCTTATCTTAATTAACATAAACTCGATACAGCAGTCAACCAATAAGGAATCTCCACACTTAATGGCTCGCTGGCGTTACTTCACAAACCACTCCCTCTGCAAAATGCCAAGTGCCATCCTGAATTGTTTACAGACTCTTAACAATTCACATCATCTGCTAGAAGCTTTTTATTTTCTTCCTTGCTCTTTGAGGGAGTTAGCAATATTGCATGCCTTTAGTTGCATTGCTTGGAATAAAGAAGCAACAAAATGTATTTAACTTAAATGAAGTGATGAGGACATTGATAATTATGGCAAGCAGCTTTTTTTTAAAAACACAACAGAATTTTCAGCAGGGCACGTAAGGACTACATTTTCCTTCTTCCTTTGCACCTAAGTGTCAGGTTTGAGATTTGATTTTATTCCACTTAAAAGTCAATAAATCACTCTGTTACTGATTATGGTCTCTGGCTCTTGATCCTTTGGCCCAGATCTGGTGGGGGCAGGCAGGGAAGCCAGTTGATGCATGTACAGTGGGTTTTGGAGAGCATGCTTTTCCAGCAAGCAAGAAGCAAGCCTGCCCTTGGTCTCAGAGTAAGATCTTTATACACACACACAAACACACACACCCTGTGACACTATGTATACACATACACACTATGTATGTTACAGATATTTACTTGCTGCAATGTATCTGGAAATAATTTTATATCACTTGACTTGTAGAATAAGAATCTTAGTTGATGTACAAACACATATGCCATCAAAAGACACAGTTGTGTCCCATTCTCCACAATTTGTAATTTCTGGATAGTGTCCATATTATCTCAAGTAAATGATTAACAAAAAGAGAATAAATTGACTCAGAATATAAAATTTGAAATGAAAGAATAGCATCAGGACTACGAAATCCATAAACAAAGTGAACTCTCTTTTCAAAGATAGTTTTGCAGACCTGGCTAATGAAAACGATATAGCATAAACTAGATACATCAGTCAACCAATAAGGAATCTCCACACTTAATGGCTCGCTTTTGTTACTTCTCAAACCACTCCCTCTGGCATTTTGCCAGGCACCATCCAGACTTGTTTACGAACTCTAACATTTCTCTGGCAAAATACCACGTGTTATTTTGACTTGTCTACAGACCTTAACAGTCTATAAACTTGCTTAGTGTTTCCTTTGTCACATATAGATTACTAAATATTGTACTACAAAAGTTCTTAATGTTCTTATAAATAAAACTCTGCCTGTTCTCATCGGTAGTATAGTAAATAAGTAAAACAAGTGAGAAAATTATTTATTCCTTGGGTCTTTCTGCTACCATTTAACTAAAATGAAGTTTGGAGGTTGATTTTAATTTTTATGTCTTAAGTATTGAATGAAGACATTGCGGGCTTAACTACAGTATGAGTGATTTAAGCTACAGAGAAGAGAGGCTGAAGAAAGAAAACATATCTTTTATTGATCACTTATTTCATAACAACACTGTGCTAAATGCTTTAGGTAACTTATAAAAATTAAAGAGGCTTGCATTTGAATATAATGCTCAATATGGGACTTAGTTCATCAAGTTATTCAGAAATCATTTATTTAACTTTCAGTTTGGACACAAAACATAGAGGGGTTAACCTGGATCATTTTATTTGAAAGAGAATAAGTGGATGGTTATATTATGTCCCAAGTCACTTCTAATTCTGTATTTCTATGTAAGTCCTGTTCCACTATAAATAGAGAAATCAATCAATAACCACAATGAAAGTACTTTTGAATATGAAAAGGAACATTTTGCCATTCTTTGTCCACAGGAATGGTGTGTTCTAGGCACTTAAAAACATCTGTTGACTTAATTCTTGATGTTTAAAATATATTCAGATAGGAATACAACACTCAACAGAATGCAATTCTTGCTGTCAAGCAGCCCACAGTCTAAGGAAAAATAGGAATGCATGTACTATTTACAGTACAATATGATAACTCTGAAACCAGAGCTTTGCAAGTCAGAAAAAATAAAAAAGGACCCAACTCTACCCAAGGAGAGAGGGAAGGTCTTGCTTCTAAGAAGAGGAGCACAAGTTAACTGGGAAATTTTCCAGGTGAATTACAAGGCAAATGTGTGGAAGGGAGTGATAATAGAGATAAAAGTGTGGGAAAATGCTAGGAAATGTACATTAGGTTCAGAAACCCTATGTCAGTTTGCACGGCTGCCACCACAGTTTTGTATGAAGGATTAGATGGAAATAAGGCTGAAAGGTTGAGGCAGACAAGAAAGGTCTGCATTTTTGCTGTTTTTT